ATCCAGAAGGTAGAGAGGATGCAAAAGGAGCTGATAGCAGGAACAGGGAACTCAGCAGTAAGAGCTATAAACAAGATCAGTCAAGGGGAACAGGAAGGGGAGATCGGAAAGGAAAGGGGTGAGCTAATCAAAAAAGGGGAACATGATCTAAGCAAAATAGTCAACAGAGAGGTGGCAGTAAGGGAGTCACTTGGTCTGCTTTTTTGGGGGAGGAGAGGATTTTGCTAAAATTGCTTTTGAGCAATTTGAAAAAAAAAAAAACAAGAAGGGAAAGCCAAATCGAAAGAAGAAAGCAAGAAAGCAAAAGGTAAGGAGGGGAGGAAGAGTGGAAGACCAAGCTGTAAATGAAGAGTAAGGGAAATTGCACTGAGGAGAAGGAAGAGAAGAGGGGGGAGGTTGGAAATGCTAAGATGGAATGTAAGGAAGGGAGCCAGAGGTCTCTGGTGAGTAATGCGATTTGAAATCAGAAGACTGGTGTCATTCTCCTGCAAGAAACTAAGCTGGAATCTTATGCCATAAGAATGATGAACGAGATTTGGGGGAGAGGTTGGGGAGAATGGCCAGAGTTAATTGCGGTTGGGTTGGCAGGGGGTTGGCCTAACTATGGGATTCAGGGATTTTTCCGGAAAATCCCTGGGTTATTGGGCGGATAAAGTTCGGAAGTGACTGTCACAAGCTGGGCTCTTTCTTTTCAAGAATTTGAGCAAATCAGAAGTTCAGATTTATAGAGAACTCTTAGGGTCTCCTTGTGATCCAAGCTTGTAATGTGAATCTTTTAGTTTGGCTTGATGTTTTGGTGTGTCGACTCGACACCTGATTGGAATGTACTTGTTTTTATAATAAAAATTTTCTTCTTTATTCTTCAAAAATCGAAAGAAGATGGTGGAGCTCTGGCTAGGAAGAGGAAACGTTACAGTGGCAGGCAAGACAAAGAATTGTAGGGAATGAGTTTTACAAGGAAATAAAAGAAAAGTGAAGGATGTTGTTAGCCAGGAGCAGGTTGTCACAGCCAATAATCGACAAAGTACAACGAGTCTGGTGCCATCATCCGAAGGAGAGGGAGAATTATCGCCCTCAACAAATTTACAGTCGGTGGAAGAGGATTTAGGATTTGTGAACGTTGAAGGAGAAAGCAGCATGCATCAAGGGCCCTAATGTTGAGCAATGTAAGGAAGTATTCTTAATACTCGTTCGATCTTGGTTGAGGATGTGTTGTGGGAGAACCAGTCGGAGAAGCACCAAAGGAGTGGGCACAAAGAGGAAGGGGCTGGTGGTAGGAAGAGGAAGACAAGCAGGAAGGGGAGACAAGAGGGAGATAGTGTGCCATAAGAAAGGAAAATTAGGCAGCTTTGTGACGAGAGTGGAAGGGGAGGAGGAAGAGAGGAGAAGAACAGGGAAGGGTGTCTAGAGGAGAAGAGGGGGAAGAGAGAGGAAGCAGCGAAGAGGAAAGAAGGGGAACAAGGGGCTTCGGAAGGGGTTGGTAAGGGGGGTTACAAATTCATGCTCTGGTTGAGAAGGAGGTGACAGTGGGAAAATTTTTGGGTCTATTTTTCTCAGGAGGAGAAGATATCATAAGGAGAGCTTTCGAGCAGTTTGAGAAAGATAAGAGGGAGGAGAAAAATAAGAGAGAGGAAAGTTTAGCAAACAACAAAGGTTGGGACGAAGAAGGGGATGAGGAGAAGGTGTTGGGAGATGATTTGGGGTCAGAGCTCAAATTGCATCAGGGGCCAAGGAGTTAAGGATGAGGATGTATAGCTGGAACATTAGAGGTTTGAGGGAGAAAAGAAGGATAGTGGTCAGAAACTTAGTCAGATGATACAGACAAAAAGGCAGTTCTGTTACAAGAACAAAATTGGAATCCTTTAATATGAACTCGAAGGAGATTTGGGGGAGGGGCAGTAGGAAATGGCTGGAGTTGGATGCTAAGGGACTTTCATGGGGTGTTGACATATTATGAGACCAGGGTCTACAGAAAGATATGTGAAAAGATTGGCAAGTTTTTGGTTTCAGTTTGTCTATAAGAAGTGAATGGAGAACGGTATTGGTGTCTAACAAATGTATATGGGCTGAATTCTGGGAAGAGTTGGGTGGCTTGAGGAGGATATGGAAGGATCCCTGGTGTATATGATAAGATTTCAATGTGGTTAGGAGGGGTGAGAATGAAAGGAGGAAGGGATAGGTAGACAAGTGTTGGGAGAAGAAGGTTTAGGGAATTCATTAGCATGTGTGGGTTGGTTGATCCACTGTTGAATGGTGGCAGGTTCACTTGGTCAAATGGACAGATTCCTATTTTCTGGGGACTAGCTGGGGTATGTGGGGACAATGGTACAAGAGACATTGACAGTAAGTGTTTTTTTTTTTTTTGAGAAAATTTAACCAGAATTTATTAAGAAAAAAAGGGGGGATCAAGAGGAGATATACAAAGCAGGGGGGGGAACCCCTACAAGTTACAAAGGAGGAAGCTTGTCGCCATACAAATGCTCCAAATACACACCAAATTTAGCTAGGCCATCTGCAGTATGATTGTGTTCCCTAGGAATCCAAACTAAGTTAACATTCAAACCATCCAAGGAATCCCAAGCTTCAGTCAGATAATGATACAGTCTCCAAGGGACCCTTTTTTTGTCTCTTAACCATTTTATCATATTTGCCGAATCACCTGCAATGATCAAATTCTGAATTCCCAAATTCTTTATTATCCTGATTCCGGTGAGAGCAGCCACTACTTCAGCCTTTGTGGAGTCAGCCCAACCGATTGGACCACTAAAAGTCCACGGATATTGCCCCTTTCGTCCCTTACTGTACCACCAATACCTGCAAGGCCCAAATTACCTAATGTACAACCGTCAAAATTAAGGGTTACCGCACCTTCACTGATGATAACGGGATGCCTCAAGGAAGTTTGCTGGGATGGGGTGCTGGCTAGTGAGTGTATTGACTCGAGGCTAAGGAGTGGGAGACTAAGGTTGGTATGCAAACTCAATATTGAGAAAGCCTATGATAGTGTGGAGTGGGATTTTCTAGAAGAGATGCAAGTATTGATGGGTTTAGGGGAAAATTGGAGAAGATGGATGTTTTTTATGTGTCTTTCCATTTCTTTCTATTTAGTCCTCAACGGGATCTCTACAGAGCTTTTCCAAGCCTGTAGGGGATTGCAGCAAGGGATCCAATTTTTCCTTTGTTATTTGTGTTAGTCATGGAAGTGATGAATCTGCTAAAGGAGAAGGGTGCACAGTTGGTATGGATTGAAGGTTTAAAAGTGGGTGCTAAGGGTCCTTGCATCACACACCTCCATATGCGGATGACACATTTATCTTCTTGGATACCTCAGTGGACCAGGTGCTGAATTTAAGGGCCATATTAGCTAACTTTGAAATGTTGACAGGTTTGAAAGTTAATCTAAATAGAAGTCAATTAATTAGCGTGGGGGAAGTAGGGAGGGAGGGGTTGGAGTATTTAGATGATATTTTGATTGCCAGACTGGGCATCTAGCTATTCTTTGCTTGAATTTACTGGTGGGGAATAAGGTTTTTACGGTGGAGAGCAAGAGATCAATTGTGAAAAGGGTGGGAAAGAGCTTGGAGAGGTGGAAGGCAAAATTACTCTCTCTAGGGGGTAGAATTACACTCATTAGGAGTGTTCTTTCAAGCTTATCGACTTACTACATTTCACAATTGAATATTCCAGCAAGGGTGGCAGAGAGAGTTGAGAAAGTTCAGAGGGATTTTCTTTGGGAAGGGGTGGGGGCCCTAACAAATTTCACCTAGTAAAGTGGGGGAAGGTGTACAAGGCCAAAAGAAGTGGGCTGGGTTTTAGGAGAATCAAAATTTTTAATAAGGATCTCTAGGGCAAATGGATTGTGGAAGGTTGGGTTAGAGAGGGAAAGGGATTCTCTTTAGAGGAGGGTGGTAGTCGGGAAGTCTTCTACATTTTAGGATTTGCCTAGTTTTAGAACATGTATGTCTGTTTTGTTTTGATTATGTTTCAAACTTCCTCTTTTTCTTTATAAATTGCATTTTCATCACTTATCAACTATAAATAGCAAATGTGCATCTTTGTGTACATACACAAATTGAAAAGATTAATTATTAATGACCATATTGATCATCCCATACCCCAAATTGCATTTGTGTTTTAATTCAATCATTATCAACCACTAAAATTCTGCATATTAACTTGCTCACAAAGGACTGTTTATTATCAACATGTCACAAGGCATTTACACCCCGAATTTGACCTATTAGCAAGGTTAAAAGTACCAATACTGTATGCTTTGTATTGGGTGTATTGTATCGAATTGTGGAGTCCCCAAAACGCTAAATACTTAGAGTTTGGGGTCCTGGCCTATTTTAAAGGTTAATAGCCCTCCTAAGCATGTCCTGACCCAATTTTCAAAACTTAATTAATTTTTTGTCATGTATTTTTTCCATTTGAAATGCCTCATACGCAATTTTTGCGAATTGAGCATACTGATAATTCAATACTTTGGACCTTGCCTATTTTTTTATCAATGACCTTGCCTATTAGAAGAGGTTGACCATACAACATGTGGGACCCTTTATGTCCATACTAGCTTTAGCAAGATGGAAGATTCAAATAACTTATTAATATCAATTTCAAGTATTACAATAAGTGGAATTTCAGGACCCTTTAATATCCTCTTTCTTACTGATCAAAAGGAAAAAATATTCAAATAACCTATTAGAAGAGGTTGACAACACAAACATGTGGGACCCTTTCCCCTTTCAAACACTTCTTAATTTGATGACTTGATTAAACAATTTTCCTCATACTTGAAAGTTCAAACAACTTTTTCTTATACCATCTTAATGCATTGACTATTTTACTATGAAAAAATAATGGATATCATGCATCATTGCAGAAAAAAAAAATAAAAAGAAACAAAGCTTTTGGATTGGTTTATATCATAATCATATAAACACAGCTATAAGATTTAACCATTCGATGGGTGTCACTCTGATGCAAACTACAACTCTTACTTGCTGATCTATGATTATCTGAATGAGCAACTTCAACGGTGCCCCTTGTTTGCTGCTGCATTAAAAACAAGAAGATTAGAAAATAGAACCAAATACTAAATGCTATTACATAATGATGTATGTATATATATATACATACAAACATACATACATATATATATATATATTAGTATGGTAGCAAATTAATTTGGTTGTAGTTGACAAGACAAAGTTTGCCAATAGCACTGAGCAACTAAATCTCTAATATCAAATTTTAAACTTAGAACTCAAAAGCACTCAAGTGAGTCTCAAGTTACACTTTTATTGCACAACTTCTATAAAAAAATAAGTATAGCCAAAGTTTAAAGTAAAATTGACACAGCCAAACTAGGAAAATATCTGTTCATTTTTGGACAAATGGGCCAATAACTGTCAAGACCATCCCATCATTTTCCTTTGTATCAGATATGAACAGATTAAGACTGGCAATATAGATTGATAAAGACTGATATAATAAAGACATTACAGGCTGATATATATCTCATGTAATTGAATATAAAACTTAATTAAAAGATAAGACAGAAGCAATATAATAATACTTTAAATTATAAAATCATCGTGTATTGATTAATTTTTTGAGAAAATTACGCAAATTTAAAATAGTGGGTCCATGCATGTCTTAGGTTCACATATAAACATTTTATCAAATTATTACAAGTGTAAATTGATAAATTACAATGGGTTCATGTGCATTTTACAAGTAAATGGAAATTACAATTGGTTCATGTCAAGTATGTAGATATATATTAGTTCACACAAACTGTAATGTATTAATTCACACAAATTAAAAATGACTTTAAAACATTATATTATATGAAAGAAACTAATTGGAAATTATTTATATAGAACTTGAACCAATGAAATTTCAGTAAAAACACTACATTCAAATTAACTTTACTAATAGATACAATATAAAATTGGGCATTGGGCCCTTGTGTGTGATGAATTCAAAGGCATCACAATGAATGAACTGCTTAGATGGTGAAAGGTGGTGGTGACGTTTCAAGCCAGAAAACAACAAAGATAATTGAAATGGAAAGCCCCCACTGAGGGGAGATTGAAACTTAATTTTGATGGGTGCAGTCCAACATATGTCTGTGGTCGTGCAGCTTAAGCAGGAAGAATGTGACTATTGCAGAAAGTTATGAAGTAATCAAAGGGTTGTGTGGTGCCCGAAGATTTGAAGGCCTCTTTTCAATTGGAAGATGAAGGAATATGTGAGTTTATTATCAAAGTTGCATCTAGTTGAAGTGCAAATTGGAAGTAGGGATGGTGGAAAGAAACTAAAAGTGGCATTTTCTCTACTAAATCATTCTATAATGCTCTTGAAAGGAATCAAGTGGAGAAATCAGATATAAGAGGAGTTTGGGGAACCCCTATTCCACCAAGGGTGGAAGCATTTGCTTGGCTTATACTGTAGTCTTGGGCAGCATTCTAACTCTGGATCATATTCAAAGCAGGGGAGTCCAGATGGCAGGAAGATGTTACTTATGCAAAGCGCTAAAGAGAATATAATGCACCTGTGCTTCGGTTGTTGCAACACGAAATACATATGGGGATTTTTCTTTGGACTATTCAAAATTGGCTTCTTGGAACCTAGAAATCCGGGAGAGACTTTTGCTTGATAGCCTTCAATGCGAGGAAATATCAAGAGAAAGATTGCTTGAATCTGGGTACGGTGTACCCCTTGCCATTTGTTGGAAGGTTTGGAAAAAAGATCCTTGAAGACAAAGAGAGAAAAGATCAAATAGTGATGCTTTGTAGTAAAAGAATCATGGAGTGGATTATCATCTTATCAGCATTTCAAGGTCTCCAAAGAAGATCATGGAAATGGTTTTTAGTGTTTACTTGAGTTAGAGCCAAGAAGCTAATATTGATGTCTTCTTCTTTGACTTGTAGTGTTTTTCCCCCTTTTTTGTGGAGCTTGTTGTGTCTTGGTGATCTCTCATCACCAGATTTGATGTACTATCTTCTCTTTTTTTTTATTAATAAAATTTTCTTTGTTGTTTATTTCCAAATAAAACAACTTTCTCAGTTTTTCATATCCAGTTGGGTTTGGTAACTCCCTAAAAGCTGAGCTTCTTGCCTTTATTCAAGGGTTGAAGCTGGTCTCCATGCAAGGATGGTCAAATGTTCTAGTAGAAGGTGATTGTTATACTGTCGTCTCTTGGATGTGTGGTGAAGAGACTTGATCCACAGATGATTGGTTAGACACGCACAAACCTTGGGCAGTTTCTTGAATCACTCATTCAAGTAGGTGCCTAGGACTACAAATGTTCTGGACCTTCTGGTTGATGCCATGGCAAGGGATGGGGTGTCTAATGAAAGTCTTCACTGGGGACATCCTGGGCCAGGGCTACATGTGTACTTCATTTCTGATTGCTGAATTTTAGTGTTAGTCAAGGTCAGCCTTGTATTCTATGTTTGTCTTCCTACATTCTGTTTTTTGGGTGGCAGGAAGTTTTTTATTAATGAAAGCCATATTTTGTTATTGATCAAAAGAAAAACAATTACAGCTAGTTGTTAAAATAAAATATTTTTTTGAAGTATCAATAGGAAAATTCCATTAAACTGAAACAGAGGTATAGTACAAGGACTTTTGGTTGTCAAGTTGACAAACCGAGCAAAGGTACACCACTCAAACTGAAAATAAATCTTCATTACAGGGCTGTAACTCAGAGTACTCCAAAAGTTTTCTAACAAATCAGCTTCGTCCACTGTCTCGAACTCTGGGAGCTGTAGCACCCAATCTGAAATCAGATTGCTCACTGCGGCTACCAAGTGATCAATGGACTTTGCCTTGTCTCCAAAGATCCTTCTGTCCCTCTCATTCCATATAGCCCAGCAAACTGCAAATGGAATGCAGCTCCACATGATTCTAGCTTTCTTGCTTCCTCTGAATTTTGGCCATTTGGAGAAGATTTCTGCTGGGGATAGAGGATGAAAGACATTGACCCCGAACAGAAAAGAGAAAACTTCCAAATGAAATTTGCTGCACTACAAGAAAAGAACAGGTGCAGAACTGTTTCCTCCTCCAAGTTGCATAAGTAACAGAAGCTTGCCATGTGAAACCCTGTTCTTCAAATGATATGTAGTAAGAATGCTATCATGTGCTACCAACCAAGCAAATGCGTCAATCCTATGGGGTACTGGATTACCCCATACACCTTGTATCTGTTTTGTCTCCGCAATTTCTCTTGTTATTGCCTTGTAGAAAGACTTCACTGGAATCTTCCTTCTTTGCACTCTTTCCACCAAAGACCATCTCCTGTGCTCCTAGAGATACGTGTGCCTTCTAATTTCTCCAGCAGCAGAATACATTCTTTAACTTCTTGATCAAGTAAAGGCCTTCTAAAATAGGGAGACCAAATCAGCTTCTCCCCTCTCCATTCATAGCACCGATTAATTGTGATTTGCTTCTCAGACAGGCCGTATAACCTAGGACAGACCTCACAGAGTTTCCCTATCCCGAGCCATTCATCTTCCCAAAACCTCACCTTTGACCCATCCCCCACTTTGAAACTGACCCGAGCCCTGAACTCCTGATTAAATCTCATGATCCCTGAACTCCCAAAACCTCACCCTTGACCCATCCCCCACTTTGAAACTGACCCGAGCCCTGAACTCCTGATTAAATCTCATGATCCCTTTCCAAACACTTACTCCATAAGAGCTCCTTGCTTCTCTTGGTTCCCACCCAAACCTTACTACTCCATATTTACCAACTATCACCCTCCTCATTTCCCTAATTGTGGCTTGTTGAAAGGTTGTATTCTTCTCAGTCCTAACCCCCCCCCCTTTAATCTGTGCACCTTTTTTCCCACTCGACCATGTGGAACTTTTTGGACCCCCAACCCTTCCCAAAGAAAATCCCTCTGTATCTTCTCAATTTTCACAGCCACATCCTTAGGAACCTTCAGCAATAAGAGATAGTACATTGGTAGGCAGGAGAGAACACTCCTTATAAGTGTAATCCTGCCTCCCAAGGAGAGATTTAGCTTTCCATCTATCTAATCTCCTCTCAACTCTCTCTATAAGGGGCTTCCATATATTACCCGCTGCTGTACTACACCCAACTGGCAGCCCAAGAAATTGGAATGGAAATTCTCCAACCTACATCCCAATACCACTGCAAATTGCTCCATCTCCTCCCTATTTATATCTTCCCACCCCTATCAAAGAGCTTTTTTCTATGTTCACTTTCAACCCAGTCACCATCTCAAAGTTGGCAAGAATGGCTCTTAGGTTCATGATTTGATTTGCTGAAGCATCTAAAAATATTAATGTGTTGTCCGCATATTGAAGGTGAGAGATACATGGGCCTTCTGCTCCACTTAAAAACCTTCTATCCAACCCCTTTGGACTCCCTTCTTCATATCAAGAGGTTTAACGCTTCCATTACTATTACAAACAGAAAGGGGGAGATTGGATCCCTTGCCTCAACCCACTGGAAGCTTGGAAGAATTCAGTTGACACTCCATTGATCAACAATGAAAAGGAAGCTGATGACATGCATCCATACATCCATCCCCTCCATCTCTCCCCGAAGCCCATCACCTTTGCATCTCTTCCAAAAATCCCCACTCCACGTGGTTGTAGGCCTTCTCTATACCTAACTTGTACACTAATCCTGGCCCGCCACTTCTTAACCTTGAGTCAATACATTTGCTCGCCACTAGTACTCCATCCAGAATTTGCCTCCCTTCTACAAATGCCATCTGAGATTCCCCTACCACCTCCTGAACCCCCCTTTTTAGTCTGCTTTCCAGCACCTTCACCAGTAGTTTATATGGATAACTTATTAGGCTTATCGGCCTGAAATCTCTTATATCCACTACCCCGCTCTTCTTCTGAATTAGGGAAATTAAAGTAAAATATAAACATTGATGGAATTACATTTTTATATTGAAAAAATAAAAAATGCATTAAAAAGAAGAATCCTGCCCAACCAACACCCTCTAGTCAAGCCACTATACAAAAAGCACCAATTCTCTGAACAAGAAACCTTAAACAAAC